ATTTTTGTTAAATGCTTTTTCAGCATTCATGGAGATCATCATGTAGTTTTTGTTCTTTTTGTTGATGTAGTGGATGATGTTAATGGATTTTTAAATATTGTACCATCCTTGCATCCCTGGAATAAATCCTCTTGATCATGATGTATGATCTTTTTGATGTAGTCTTCAATTTGGTTTGCTAATATTTTTTTGAGTATTTTTGCATGTATATTCATCAGGGATATTGGTATGTAATTTTTTTTGTTGTTGGGTCGTTGCCTGGTTTTGGCATTAGAATGATGCTGGCTTCGTAGAATGAGTTTGGAAGTATTCCCTCCTCTTCTACTTTTTGGAAAACTTTAAGAAGGATGGGTATTACATCTTCTGTAAATGTCTGATAAAATTCAGTGGTGAAGTCATCTGGTTGGGGATTTTGTTCTTGGATAGTTTTTTAAATTACAAATTCAATTTCATTGCTGGTAATTGGTCTTTTTAGATTTTCTGTTTCTTCCTGAGTCAGCCTTGGAAGATTGCATTTTTCTAGAAAGTTGTCCATTTCTTCTAGATTATCCAGTTTGTTAGTATATAATTTTTCATAGTATTCTCTAATAATTCTATGTATTTCTGTGGTGCCCATAGTGATTTTTCCTTTCTCATTTATGATTCTGTTTATGTGTGCAGACTCTCTTTTTTCCTTGAAAAGTCTGGCTAGAGGTTTATCTATTTAGTTTATTTTCTCAAAGAGCCAGCTATTGGTTTCATTAATTCTTTATATTGTTTTATTATTCTCAATTTTATTTTTTTCTTCTCTGATCTTTATTATGTCCTCCTTCTGAATTTGGGCCTCCTTTGTTCTTCTTTTTCTAGTTTCATTAACTGTAAATTTAGACTGTTCATTTGGGATTTTTCTTCTTCTTTGAGATAGTCCTGAGTTGCTATATATGTTCCTCTTAGAACCGCCTTTGCTGCACCCCACAAAAGTTGGGGCTGTTTTTTCATTTGTCTCCTTATATTGCTTGATCTCTGTTTTAATTTGGTCATTGATCCATTGATTATTTAGGAGCATGTTGTTAAGCCTCCACGTGTTTGTGGGCCTTTTAGTTTTCTTTGCACAGTTTATTTCTACCTTCATTCCTTTGTGATCTGAGAAGCTGGTTGGTACAATTTCAATCTTTTTGAATTTACTGAGGTTCTTTTTGTAGCCTAGTATAAGATCTGTTCTTGAAAATGTTCCATGTGCACTTGAGCAGAATGTGTATCCTGTTGCTTTTGGGTGTAGAGTTCTGTAGATGTATGTTAGGTCCATCTGTTCTAGTGTGTTGTTCAGTGCCTCTGTGTCCTTACTTATTTTCTGTCTGGTGGATCTGTCCTTTGGAGTGAGTGGTGTGTTGAAGTCTCCTAAAATGAGTGCATTGCATTCTATTTCCCCTTTTAATTCTAGTAGTATTTGTTTGACATATGTAGGTGCTCCTGTGGTGGGTCCATAGATATAGTGGTTATATCCTCTTGTTGGACTGACAAGTTTATCATTATGTAATGTCCTTCTTTGTCTCTTGTTAGTTTTTTTGTTTTGAAGTCTATTTTGTCTGAAACGAGTACTGCAACTCCTGCTTTTTTCTCCCTATTAGTTGCATGAAATATCTTTTTCCATCCCTTCACTTTTAGTCTGTGTATGTCTTTGGGTTTGAAGGGAGTCTCTTGAAGGCAGCATATAGATGGGTCTTGCTTTTTTGTCCATTCTGTACCTCTATGTCTTTTGATTAGTGCATTCAGTCCATTTACATTTGGTGATTATTGAAAGATATGTGCTTATTGCCATTGCAGGCTTTGAGTTCATGGTTACCAAAGGTTCAAGGGCAGCTTCTTTATTATCTAAGCATCTAACTTAACTTCTTATTATGCTGTTATAAAGACAATCTAGAGATTCTTTTTTCTCCCTTCTTTTTCTTCATCCTCCACTCTTTATATGTTAGGTGTACTCTTTGTGTATTCCTTGACTGACTTTATGGGTAGCTGATTTAATTTTGCATTTGGTTAGTAATTTATTGGTTTACTTCCTTTACTGTGGTTTTATTTTCTCTGGTGGCTCCTATTTAGCCTTAGGAGCACTTCCATCTAGAGCATTCCCTTTAAAATGCACTGTAAATATGTTTTGTAGAAGGTAAATTCCCTCACCTTTTGCTTATCTGGAAATTGTTTAATCCCTCCTTCAAATTTGTATGATAATCTTGCTGGGTAGAGTGTTCTTGGTTTGAGGCCCTACTGTTTCATTGCATTGAATATATCATATCACTCCCTTCTGGCCTGTAAGATTTCTGCTGAGAAGTCTGATGATAGCTTGATGTGTTTTCCTTTGTAGGTGATCTTTTTTCCTCTCTCTGGCTGCTTTTAATACTCTGTCTTTGTCCTTGATCTTTGCTATTTTAATTATTATATGTTTTGGTGTTGTCTTCCTTGGGTCCCTTGTGTTTGGAGATCTGTGTATTTCCATGGCCTGAGAGACTTAATTCCTTCTCCAGATTGGGGAAGTTTTCAACAATTTATTTCTTCAAAGACACTTTCTATCCCCTTTTCTCTCTCCTCTTCTGCTGGCACCCTTATAACGTGAATTTTGTGAAAGTAAATTTGAAATGGATTGAAGACCTAAATGTAAGTCATGAAACCATAAATCTCTGCAAAGAAAATATAGGCAAAAATATCTTGAATATGAACATTAGCAACTTTTCCTGAACCTGTGTCCTCGGGCTAGGGAAACAAAATAAACAATGAATAAATGTGACTACATCAAGCTAAAATACTTCTGTATAGCAAAGGACACCATCAGAACAAAAAGGCATCCTACAGTGTGAGAAAATATATTCATAAATGACTCATCTGATAAAGGATTAACATCCAAAGTATATAAAGAACTCATATGTCTCAACACCCAAAGAACAAATAAATAACCCCATCAAAAAATGGGCGGAGGACCTGAACAGACACTTCTCCAAAGAAGAAATACAAATGGCCAACAGGCATATGAAAAGTTGCTCCACATTGCTAATCATCAGAGAAATGCAAATTAAAACCACAATGGGGTATCACCTCACACCAATTAGGATGGCCACTATCCAAAACACAAGAAATAACAAATGCCGGTGAGGGTCTGGGGAAACAGGAGCCCTCCTACACTGTTGGTGGAACTGCAAATTGGTACAAACCCTGTGAAAAGCAGTATGGAGGCTCCTCAATAAAACTAAAAATAAATATATCATTTGATTCAGTAATTCTGTTTCTAGGAATTTACCCAAAGAAAACAAGATCCCTGATTCAAAAAGATACATTCACCCCTATGTTCATAGCCTCACTGTTTTCAATAGGCAAGATAAGGAAACAACCTAAGTGTCCAACAATAGATGATTGGATAAAGAAGTTGTGGTACATACATAATGGAGTATTATTCAACCAGAAAAATAAAAGAAATCCTGTCATGTGCAATGGATCTAGAGGGTATTATGCTCACTGACATAAACCAGGCAGAGAAAGACAAATACCATATGATTTCACTCATTTGTGGAATACAAAAATAGAGCAAAACAGAAGGAACAAAACAGCATCAGACTCACAGACACTGAGCAGTGACTAGTGGTTACCAAGGGGTAGGGGAATGTGTGTGGGGGTGAGGTAGGGAGAAAGGGAACTGTTGAATCACTGTGACATATATTTTGATTAAAAAAAAAAAGATTTACATACAAAAGGACCTGCGGAAAAAATTCTGGAAATAAAAGGCGAGTGGGGGAAGTCCCTTATTTTCAACTGGGGGAATTAAGCTTTGTACTTTTTATTTGCATTTGCCTTTCTAGGTGTTGTGAGGCATGTTGGCGTAGGTGTGTGTTGTGGTGTTAGGGTCCGGGCTTCCGAGGCTTCTCCAGAGAACAAACTACACAGGCATAGAGATGTAAATTCAAGCAGTCTTTATTCAGCCAGCTAGCTGGGGTCCAATGTCAGCCCTAGCGGTCTCAACAAGGACCCCGAGCACTCAAAGCCAAGGGTTTATATAGCATTTTCAAAACACTTAACTCATAGTAATTTTCCACAGCTGCACATTATTCTTGCAAGACATACATCCTGGGGTTAGGCAGGAGCAAGATAAGACCACTCCTCAATTGTCAGGGAGGTTCTGCACGATAAGCTTGGTATGTAGGATTAGCTGACCAAGGTTAGCTGACTAAAGGCCACAGCTGCCCACCATCTGGTGTTCATGATTAGCTTGTTTTTCAAGGCCTTACCCAGTTCCAGTTTTTCTTTCTAAGTCACATACTCAGAAAATGGCTTCTAGTCTTTTAAGATGGCTATGCTTATGCTAACCTATTTCTATTCTTACAGTGGGAGGGAGGGTGTTGCATGGTTGTGTGTTGTATTGACATTGTTTGTGAAATGGGTCTGTCCGAGATGCCGGGTGTGAGGGAGTTTATGCTGTTGGAGGTTATTTGGGCAGTTGAGTGGCTTTGAAGCGTTGGTCCTGTGTGTGTGTGTTGTTCGGATTGTGCAGATGAGGAGCGCCGCGTGCGAGGGAGTGGCGTTGAGCGGACTCAGCCCCATAGCTTGGTTGGGGAAAACAACAAAAGGGATGCCCAAGAGATGAGGCCTAATTCCACGATTTCGATGAGGCCTAATTCCACGATTTCGAAAATCCGGTTTGCAGCCATCCTTCCTCGTCTCTGTGGCAGGAGGACTACAATTCCCAGGATGCCCCGCTCCCCCACCAACTAAGAAAAGGGATCTCTTCAACAGGCTGGCCTGGGACAAGGCTGGTCAGGATGAGAGGCAGCCCGGCCAATGTGTGACCCCAGCCCAATCGAAACGGACGCTGTTTGCGCCGATGCTGACTGGAATCTTTGGCGCCTTGGTTTCAGTGGCGGAGACCTTGATAGGCGGATCGAATGGCCAGTGAGGAGGCGGGAAGGTGGCGCCAGAGAGTGTGGGCGGGGAGAGATGCTGAGTAGCAGGCGGTTTGCCCAATAACGGGTGGAAGTCTCTGGAGCTGTCGACCGAGTCGATAAGAGGCGGGCGACTGTAGGTGCAGAGTGTGCCATGGCTGAGCCGGTGAGGAACCCGGCTAGGCCGTCCGGAAGAGGCTCTGTCGGCCGAGGGGCTCAGGGGTCCCGGGGCGCCCGGGGCCGGCGTCCTCGCGCCCAACGGTCTCCAGCCCGTTGCACCCCGGACTCGGTGCTTGTGGACTTGGTCAGCGACAGCGATGAGGATATCCTGGAGGTCCCAACTGAGTGCGGAGCTGTGGGTCCTGTCGAGGTCCCGCTCTCGGGGCCCTCGGTAACGCCGCTGCTGGCCGCGCCCCAGGACGACAGCGACAGTGAGAGCGAAGGGGCGGGCGCACAGCCTGCTGGAGCCCCGCGGGCCCTCGTCAGGCGGCGGCGGCGGCTGCTGTTGGATCCAGGGGAGGCGCCGGTTGTTCCTGTGTATTCCGGGAAGGTGCAGCCAGGTCCCCGGGGGGGCTAGCACGGAAGCGCTGGGTTTAGGGAGGGCTGAGGTTAGGGTTGTGTTAGTCTTGGGGTACTAAACAGAAGCAGGTACTAGGGCATTGGAGGAGGAGAGATGCCGGTTGGGTTTCTGCAGATTGGGTTTCTGCAGATTGGGTTTCTGCAGGGGTTTGGAGTGAGTTGGGAGTTTGGGATTCCAAGGAGCTGGAGTGTTGGCACCATAGAGAAGCTGAGGGGCTGGCAGCACCTGGGACTGGGATTTGGTGCATATTGGGTTTTGAGGATGAGGTTCATTGCTAAGGATCCAGGAAGCTAGGGCATATGAAGCAGGAGCATGAAAGTCCAGGGAGGACTGGGGAGCTCCGGGTGGTGGTGGTGGGACCTAGGGAGCTAGTATTTCCTAGGGTTCTAAGTAGGATGGCTAGTAAAAGAAAACTAAACCTGCATCCTCAGAGTGCCTAAAGGAGAGCTGGGGGTGTAGGAGGAAGGGTACTCCGATTTTGGATCCTGGGGAAGCTGGGCTTCTGAATCCCCAGGAGAGGGCAGTGGTGTGTACATCCTTGGGGAACACTTCGGAGGTGGAGGAGGCCTGGATATGAGGGAGGAATCATTCCGTTTTCCCTTTCAGTGGAAGGAGGACTTCGGACTGACCCACTTTTGTCCTTGCAGGTGAAGAACAGCCTCCACCTTATCCCGGATCACCTGTCCCTCTTGAAACTCTGTCCCCCAGGAGCTGAGGAAGGTAAGGGAGGCATTCAGGGAAAGGTGCCCAGTGCTGGAGTCTCTGAGGAGGCTCCTTGGAATTTGCAACCCTGTAGTTGGTTGTTTCCCAAGCTCAGAGGCAGGGCATGGGAAGAGTGACTCCTGCATCCTTAGAAAAAAGCTTCCACACTGAAAAGAGCTGGATTGTTAATCAGAAGGTACAGGAAGTGTTGTTGTCAAACCATATGTCCCCCACTCTAATAATAGGCATCAGAGTGTGCTAATCTGCAGATTTCCAGGCCATCCCAGAGATTCTGATTCTGTAATCTTGGAAACAGGGGAGGGGAAGGCATTGAGATCTGTAACATCTTGTTAATATTTACAACAAGTTCGTTGGAAACACTTTGGAGCCAGTAGGGTGTTCTTTGAATCTTACCAGGGCTGCCCAGCCTTTGTCTTCCCAAGTGATATGATTTTTGCAAAACACCAAAGGGCAGTGAATAGGAATCAAGTCTAATAAGGAAGTGATACAATGGGCAAGTTCAGACCTTGGACCAAAACGTCTGTACCATGATAGGGTGCAGCTGAGTGATTAAGAGCTGATTTAGGAAACAACTGGCCTAGGCTTGAATCCTAGCTTTATCCGTTGGTAACTGTATGACCTTGGACAAGTTAATCTCTCAATGCTTCAGGTTCCTCATCAGGAAAATGGGGATCATAGTGGACCTATGTCAAAGGATTTTGGTGAGAATTAATTAAAGAGACTATATAGAGAGCCCACTCTCGGGATATGTGTTAGTACAGTACCTGGAATGTAAAATGTGAAGGTACCTCTGACCTTACTACTACAAATGGCCCAGTGGCGTTGGTCATCCCCTGGGAACTTATCTGAAGGACAGAATCATAGGCCTCTTGCAACTGCCTTATTTAGCCAGGACAGGGTTTCTCAACCTCAGCACTACTGACATTTGGACTGGTCCTGTGCATTGTGAGATGTTTAGCAGCATCCTGATCTCTACCAACCAGATGCCAGTATCAGCCCCCAAACCCCTCTCTCCATCACTGTGGCAACAGAAATTATCTCCAGATATTGCCCCCTGGGAGGCAAAATTGCCTCTAGTGGAGAGGCACTGATCTAGCATTTATTATCATTGTTTTGTTTTCAATTTTGGTGGTTAATGATGATCTTTTTAAAAAAATTTTTTTAAAAATTCATTTTATTATCATTAATCTACAATTACATGAAGAACATTATGGTTACTAGACTACCCCCTTCACCAAGTCCCTCCCCACAAACCCCATTACAGTCACTGTCCATCAGCATAGTAAGATGCTGTAGACTCACTACTTGTCTTCTCTGTGTTGCACAGCCCTCCCTATACCCCCCCACATTATACATGCTAATTGTAAGGCCCCCTTTCTTTTTCCCTGCCCTTATCCCTCACTTCCCACCCCTCCTGTCCAGTCCCTTTCCCTTTGGTTACCATTAGTCCATTCTTGGGTTCTGTGATTCTGCTGCTGTTTTGTTCCTTCAGTTTTTCTTTGTTCTTATACTCCACATATGAGTGAAATCATTTGGTACTTGTCTCTCTCCACCGGGCTTATTTCACTGAGCATAATACCCTCTAGCTACATCCATGTTGTTGCAAATGGTAGGATTTGTTTTCTTATGGCTGAATAATATTCCATTATGTATATGTACCACATCTTTATCCATTCATCTATTGATGGACACTTAGGTTGCTTCCATTTCTTGGCTATTGTAAATAATGCTGCGATAAACATAGGGGTGCATCTATCTTTTTCAAACTGGAGTGCTGCATTCTTAGGGTAAATTCCTGGGAGTGGAATTCCTGGGTCAAATGGTATTTCTATTTTGAGCTTTTAGAGGAACCTCCATACTGCTTTCCACAATGGTTGAACTAATTTATATTCCCACCAGCAGTGTAGGAGGGTTCCCCTTTCTCCGCAACCTCACCAACATTTGTTGTTGTTTGTCTTTTGGATGGTGGTGATCCTTACTGGTGTGAGGTGATATCTCATTGTGGTCTTAATTTGCATTTCTCTGACGACAAGCGATGTGGAGCATCTTTTCATGTGCCTGTTGGCCATCTGGATTTCTTCTTCGGAGAACTGTCTATTCAGCTCCTCTGCCCATTTTTTAATTAGATTGTTCACTTTTTGTTTGTTGAGATGCGTGAGCTCTTTATGTATTTTGGATGTCAACCCTTTATCGGATCTGTCATTTATGAATATATTCTCCCATACTGTAGGATACCTTTTTGTTCTATTGATGGTGTCCTTTGCTGTACAGAAGCTTTTCAGCTTGATATAGTCCCACTTGTTCATTTTTGCTCTTGTTTCCCTTGCCGGGGGAGATATGTTCATGAAGAAGTTGCTCATGTTTATGTCCAAGAGATTTTTGCCTATGTTTTTTTCTAAGAGTTTTATGGTTTCATGACTTACATTCACGTCTTTGATCCACTTCGAATTTACTTTTGTGTATGGGATTAGATAGTGATCCAGTTTCATTCTCTTACATGTAGCTGTCCAGTTTTGCCAGCACCATCTGTTGAAGAGACTGTCATTTCCCCATTGTATGTCCATGGCTCCTATATCATATATTAATTGACCATATATGTTTGGGTTGATATCTGGGGTCTCTATTCTCTTCGCTGTTCTGTGACTCTGTTCTTGTGCCAGTACCAAATTGTCTTGATTACTGTGGCTTTGTAGTAGAGCTTGAAGTTGGGGAGTGAGATCCCCCCAACTTTATTTTTCCTTCTCAGGATTGCTTTGGCTATTCGGGGTCTTTGGTGTTTCCATATGAATTTTTGAACTATTTTTTCTAGTTCGTTGAAGAATGTTGTTGGTAATTTGATAGGGATTGCATCAAATCTGTATATTGCTTTGGGCAGGATGGCTGTTTTGACTATATTAATTCTTCTTAGCCAAGAGCATGGGATGAGTTTCCATTTGGTTGTGTCCTCTTTAATTTCTCTTAAGAGTGTCTTATAATTTTCAGGGTATAGGTCTTTCACTTCCTTGGTAAGGTTTATTCCTAAGTATTTTAAAATTTGATGAAATTGTGAATGGAATTGTTTTCCTGATTTCTCTTTCTATTAGTTCATTGTTAGTGTATAGGAAAGCCACAGATTTCTGTGTGTTAATTTTGTATCCTGCAACTTTGTATTCCCATATCAGTTCTAGGAGTTTTGAAGTGGAGCCTTTAGGGCTATTTATGTACAAAATCATGTCATCTGCAAATAGTCACAGTTTGACTTCTTCTTTACCAATCTGGATTCCTTGTATTTCTTTGTTTTGTCTAATTGCCGTGGCTAGGACCTCCTAATGATGATCTTTTATATCTTTACCTCATTCCCCTCCCTTCCCCACCTATTCCATCCCAGACTCTCAAGTCTCTCTGTGCCAACCAACTTAAGTACAGAAATAAAATAAGAGAAACATTAAAAAAAAAAATTATCCTTTGACAACATCTGTTTTAATGTACATTTTATAACATACATAATAGTATGTACATCATTAGTAAGTAGTATATGTGTATTAAGTAAACATATTTTCCGGTTGCCCTGTCTTGAGTCTTGGCATTTGGCTCAGTCACTCTCCCGTTCTGCCACACTCCAGCCCATCCTTTTCTCTGTGTTAGGCACTTCCCTACTGACTCACACCAGTGAGCACTTCCCCAGTATTACTGTTGGTTGTGTGTGTGTCAGGGCCCTGTAGTCTCCTTTCTCAGGACCTTGTGAAGCCCTTGCCTTGTCTCTCCTTGGCCTCTCACTGCCCTCTCTTGGCTAACACTTCCCCAGAGGTGGATATGGCCGATTCTAGCAGTCCCCAGGCTGAAGATCCCCCATGCCCAGATTCTCCCTGGAAGAAGAAGCTGAGGAGTAAGGAAGCAGAAGAAGAGAAGAAAGAGGTGTTTCTGTGAGTGAGGGCAGGGCACTGGGACCCGAGGAGCAGAAAGGGAGTTGGAGGGGTAGGCTGAGGCAGGTGCCACCCTTGAGGGGCTCCTGAAAGGCTAAGGAGAAGGGATGGAAGGATCTTGAGGCTCAGGTGAGGAATGATGGGAGAAGAGATGGCTCACATCGGAGGATGACAGCAGACTCTTTGTGCCCACCTATGGAAGTGGAGTGTTTTGTCTGTGTTTGAGGCAGTAGTAGTGCAGGTGTGCGACTCTGGAGATCACCCTTGTGGTTCAGATCTGGCCAGCTGTCTCTTAACTATTCTTTCTGTGCCTCACTTCCTCTTCCGTAAATGGGGAACAGAGTGTCGGAGAATTTGTGAGTAGGTTGAGTTAATGTGGCATCTAGTAGGTGCTGGGTGTCTGTTGGATGTTGTTAGACATTCACTAGGAAGTGACTTATATTAAAAGTTAGGCATTTTCCTTCCTAATATTTGGGTTCTGTAAATATAAAAAGATGACATAGGTTTCCCTGTCTTTACTCCCCATCTTCTAATAAGATGGATGACTGAAAGCTGCTCCATCTTGCTTCTCCAATTCCCCTCACAAGGACAGGTGTGGGGCTGGGGCCCCTCCTTTTCCTCCGTCCTGCTCCTCTCTTCTCTCTGCAGGGCTCAGGATACTTCTCCTTTGCCCCCACCTCTGCGAAGGACCAAAAGCAGAAAACATACCCGGGCACTGCAGAAGTTAAGGTGCCAAGGGTGGGGGCTCTGGTTGGAATGGAGAGGGGCAGCTGGGGTGGCCTAACCCTGGCTGACCTGAAGTCCTTTCTGCACTCCAGGGAGGTGAACAAGCGCCTCCAAGATCTCCGTTCTTGCCTGAGTCCCAAGCAGCACCAGGACCAGGACCACCTGAGACAAGAGGATGAGGTGGTCTTGGTGGAGGGGCCTACCTTCCCACAGAGCTCCCGACTCTTCCAGCTCAAAATCCGGTGCCGGGCTGACCTGGTCAGATTGCCCGTCAGAATGGTAAGTGCCTGCAGGGCCTATGGGAGACGGGTCCCAGGAACTGCCTGTTGGGGGACTGTGGCGTCGGGGTGGAAGGGACTCTGCCTTCTCTGCCCTCTGTTCTCTGGGACTGCCTGCCATACCTTTGCATTTGCTGGTGTTTTTGTCTGGATTGTCTTTTCCTCACTCTCTCTTCTCTTTCTGGAAAACTTCCCACCCATTTTTCAAGGCTCCTCTTAAGCATCCTAGGAAGCTTTACCTAGTGGCCCTCTCCCCGGGGTGCAGCCCCTCCCTCTTCCCTTCTTTTAGACCCTGTGCTTCCCTCCTGTGCTTGCTCTTACCGCCTTAGACACAAAGATGTCACTCAGTTGTTCCTAGCTCCCCCAGCTTCCTGGTGAAGACTACTGTTTTTGTGGGGATGACCCCGATTCCAAAACAAGACTCATAACCAATTACCATTTATTGAGCTATAACCATGCTTGGGCAAGCAGCTAAGCCTGAGGTTGCAAACTGGCAGTTCACGGCTTTAGAAACAACAGTACAGCTTTTTTTTGCCATGCTTTTGAAACATAGTGGGTGATGTCATACAAAGGTCCAAATGGATGGCTTCTCCTAAATAAGCAGATGTAGTCACACTGGCCTGTATTCCTACATGGTGCCAATCAGCTGGAGCTGCATAACCAACTGCCCTGTTTAGACGAGGCATATGAATTCCAGTTTACTGCAATCCCACCACTCCTTTTTTTCCTCCTATCATGGCTGCTTCCTGCCTAAACCCCTTATTGATAAGTCTATACTCTAACAGGTAAATATGAGACTCACAGCTGAGCAGCTCAGCAAGTAGTAAAGGGCAGAAACTTGTGTTGGAGGGGGTAGGGTGGGCTGGGGCCCATCAAGGCAGAAAGGCCTCCTTTGCTTCTTGTCCTCCCCAGTCGGAGCCCCTACAGGGTGTGGTGGACCACATGGCTGCCCATCTTGGGGTGTCCCCAAGCAGGATCCTCTTGCTCTTCGGAGAGACAGAGCTGTCCCCCACTGCCACCCCCAGGACTCTAAAGCTTGGAGTGGCTGACATCATTGGTGAGAGGAAGGAAGGGAGGTGGAGTCTCGAGGAGGACTTTGCCACAGGGAGGGGATAGGGGGAAGGCCCAGAGGAGGCCCTGCATTCAACCCTGGATTCCCCATCCTGCCTCCTGCAGACTGTGTGGTGCTAGCAAGTTCTCCAGAGGCTGAAAGGATGTCCCAGCTGCTCCAGCTGCGGGTGCAAGGGAAGGAGAAGCACCAGATGCTGCAAGTCTCCCTGTCTCCAGTGAGTGGGAGAGATGGCTGTCCGTGCCCCTCACCCTTTCCTGCGCCGGCTCTCTTGTCAGCTAACAGGATGTAGTCCTCCGAATCCTGAGTGGGCTGAGTTCCCGAGCCCATCCCAGGTCATGGAAAAAATCCCTCATACAACTTCCCCTGCTCTCATCTTCTAAGCCTCCATCTGGCTAAAAGGGAAAGACCCTTGTGCAGTAATCAATTAAATCCATTAAAATAATCATTAAAGTCACATTGCTAAGTGACAGTCCCCATGCTAAGGATAATTCCTCCCCATTCTTGCTATGAAATTTCACAGCAGTCCATGTGGGAAAGCACTGTTCTTACCCGCATTTAACAAATAAGGAAACGGAAGTCTAGCGAAGGGGAGTAAGCTGCAATATTCCCTAGGGTGGCAGCAAAGTTTCACTTAAACCAATGGTTTAAGACAAGAAATTTATTCTCTCACGGTTCTGCACGCTGGAAGTCTGAAATTGAGGTGTCAGCAGGGCCATGCTGCCTCTGAGACTCTGGGTAGAAGCCTTGCTTGCTTCTTCTCAGCCTGCGGTGGTGGCATAAGTCGTGGGTGTTCTTGGCCTTCAGCCGCATCACTCAGTCTCTGCCTCTTTCATCACACGGTGTTGTCCCTGTGTGACCCTCTGGGTGTTTCTCTTATAAGGATACCAGCCACATTGCCTTAGTGCCCACCCTACCTAATTGAGTGGGACCTCATCCTGATCACATCGGCAAAGGGCCTATTTCCAGATAAGGTCATGTTCACATTTACTAGGGGTTAGGACCACAAGGAGTCTTTCTGGAGGACACAGCCCATAACACTTGCCTAAGTTCACATAGCCAGTTGAGTGGGAGAGTCTGGCTTCCAGGTTTGGATTGTTTTCACTCTAGAGCCTGGACTGTCTTCATCATGCCGTATGTGCCTCCATTGGTAGGAGAGGAGACGGGGCCTTGGAGAGCCTGCCTGACTCAGAGTCTACATCTGAAGCTTTGGGCTCTGTGGCCCTGTTCCCTGGAGGGGAACCCAGCTGTGCTGACTTCTTTGTCTACTCACCTTCCTCTGCATAGGCTCTGACTTTCCTGGTCCCCTTGTCCTCCATGTCCCAAGCCTCTGTCTATCTACAAGTTCTCCCAGCTCCTCTTTCCAAATTCTTATATCTGTTTTTTTTCCTCTTCCTCTAGACTTCTCCTCTCAAGACTCTCATGTCCCGCTATGAAGAGGCCATGGGACTTTCAGGCCACAAGCTCTCCTTCTTCTTTGATGGGATGAAGCTTTCAGGCAAGGAGCAGCCATCTGATCTGGGCATGGAATCCGGGGACCTCATTGAGGTCTGGGGATGAAATCCCATCTCCGTTTGGAGACCACCCTGAACTTGAGGGAGAGAATGGCTGTCTCTTTTGGCCCTATAAGACCCCCTCTGCTGTTAACCCTGCTTTCAAGCCTTTAGTTAGTTGGTTAGTCATATGGTGGTTCTTGCTGCCCTGGGTAGACTGGCGCCATCCACATGGTGTGCTGAGTTTTGCAGCCCCCTGGGGCATGGAGGGGTACCCCTGACCGCCAGCCTTTCACCTTCACCATCACCCTTTCCTTCATCAAAATGTCTGTTTTATGAAACTGAACTGCTCACATTTAAATAGTAGTTGAAATAAACGAAGGTTGGTTCTGGGATTTATGCCATGTCCAGGACCAGCAGTGGCCTTAGTGTCATTTGGAGGCAGGGGGTGAAGTTTGCTTGAGGCACATAAACAGGTGTGGTTTGTTTGTTTGCAGAAAATAAATGGTCAGGCTCACATGCTTAAGCATAGGCAGACAATGGGTTGCTCTTTGGAAGAAAATAGTGGATTTTCAACCTTGGGTGTTTTTCTCTTCCCAAGACCTTCCTGATACACACATTATTTAAGGCACAGCTGAACACTTTTGCTTTTATTTTCAGGATTACAGTCCACGCAAGGTTTCTCTCATTTTACAGCTTTTCCCCCTTTCTTCACACCATCATGTCCCATAAGCACCCATTCTAAGGTGTTGAATCCATGTCTTTAACTATGAATGTGTCCTTGTAAAATGCAGTGTTGTATGTGTGAATATACTTTTTACGTATGTGGTGTGGTCCTATAGGTTTTGTGTTGTTTGCCTTTTCACTCAACATTCTATATCTGCCTGGTTGCTTCAAGCTGTTCTGTTGTACTCCCCTGTGGGTGTCAACTGTATTTTACTTACATGTCCTTACTTCCACATTACAAATCCTGGGTACCTCCAATTCCTCAGCACATACACAAGGCCATGATGGGTGAATGGACATCACTTGTCCCCTTCCATGCTTGTGTGGAAAGTTCTCCAGCATAGAGAGCCAGGATGGGATTACAGGTCAGACAGCAATTTCTTTATGGTTCTAGCAAATTTTTCTTTAGAATAGTCATTGACTCTCCCGCTTGAGGCTCTGCATCTCTCCTCATCCTCACCGGTATTCTTACTGCCCAGCTTTCTAATTTTTGCCAGTCTGATGGTTATCTAGTGGCTCAGTGTTTTCATGTACATTCATCTGGCCACCAGTAATTTGGGGAATTTCTTCATATACTGATCAGACTTTCTGGTTTCCCTTTCTGTGAACTACCCTGGGCAGTTGCAAATAACTCAGAATGGCACTTGGGTGTAGATCTCGGGTGCTCTTCAGTTAACAGAAATCCTTTATTTTAATGTAGATGAATGACTGTCATATTACTTGTTGCTTTTTGATTTATTTTAAAGTAGTTTAGATGTTTTAATTTTCTTCTCTTAGCTTACTCTTTTTTCCTTTCACGTTTAGACCACCAAGTAGGGCTGAAGTCCAGCCAGTACATTGCCTGGCATCTGTTCTGCATGATCAAACATTTGTTCTCATCGGTTAATGCCAGGCTATGCTGGCTGCTAAATATTGACTGTTACTTTTAAACTATTTGAATTCACCTTTTTATATGAGAACCAAGTTTTGTTTTCTCCATATGATCCAGTTTTCTCAGTGCGGGCTACTACTAAAGCCATTACTTTTCCACTGATGTGTGGAATAATTTTGGCAAAAGTTGTCACCTTCTGAAAAAAATTTTTTTTGTTGGAATGTGGTGTTCCTTTGAATTTATAATGTTGGAAAAATAAAAAGAAACCTTTGTAATATTTCAATAATCCATGGTATGGTATAGCGTTCATTTTTTTCAGAACTTTTATGTTCATTTATAAGTTTCAGCTCATTCAAATGATGTATTCAGTCTCCACAGAATAAATGGGAATACGTTCAACTTGTGAATACTCGAGGATTTCTGTCTTTGTGGCTATCATGGGATGCCCTACCTCCCACAGCGCCTGTGACTGAGACCATTGGTTGTCCCCACATGTCCATTCTTTCTCCTTTCAGGGTAATAGAAGCCCTGGTCTTTAGCAAAGCATAGAGAATTCAGAATGAAGACACTACTTGCCAGTCTGCATTGTAGCTAGGTGTGGCCAAGTGCCAGTTCAGGCTCCTGACTGGGGGAAGAGTCACGGCTTGCAGGATGGGGCCATAAGCAGGCAGCCTGTGCCCCTCTGCTTTCTTCTTGCTGCTGATAGGAAGTGGAGAGCAACCTGGACATGAGGTGGCCTTGGGGAAGGAAGCCATGCAGGGCAAAACAAGAGGATCCTAGGTCTCAGCCTCCTGTAGCATCATACCAGCCCAGCACTGCTGATGTTGGGGATTTCACAGGAGAAGGGAACTTCCATCTTGTTTAAATCACCGCCATTTGAGGATTTCTGTCCTTGTAGTGCGTTTGTAGCCCTAGGAAGGTGCTGTTGTGAGTAATAGTGTACTGATCCCCTCTGGGTCTCTGGGGGAGATTTTCTCAGGTTTATATCCATGAGTGGAATCACTTAATATTGAATATGCACTCACCTACCCAATTTCTCTTTTGAGTTCTGCCAGATTGCTGACCAAAGTGGCTGGACCTCTTTATAAATCCATTAGCAAGTGCTACAAGGTTCAGTTTCCTTTTATCTTCCCCAGCCCTTAATCTGAGAGAATATGAGAAAGACTACTCATTTTAAAAGAATTCACATTTCTTCTATGAGAGATAATTATCCTCTTGATCAAAGAGATTGATCATTTGCCAGGGTATCTTTCTAAAACGCTCCTGATTAGAAACCTTCAAAACTCTAGTGAGCCCTTACTCAGTGCCACATACCAGGCTGGGCACTTTTCATAACCCCTTTCATCCTCAGAGCGATCCTGTGAGGTAGATGTTGTTATTCCCATTTTACAGAAGAGAAACAGCTTAGGAAGATTAATTAGCCTGCCCCAGACCAGAGCCAGATGCAAAACCAGGTGGGCCTGACATGACTCAGGATTCCTAACAAGGTCTCACACTTGAATGTGCCCATGAGTCAGCTGGGAAGCTTGTGAAAATGTGGATGTCGCATCAGCAGTTCTGGGTGGGGTCCAAGGTGCTGCATTTCTTCCAGGCTCCCAGGCATTGCAACACTGCTGACTGTGCTTAGAGTGGCAGGATGCTATTTGCCTTTTTCTCTATAGCTTCATGCCTTCAAATTCTCCCATCTCCTGCCATTCCCTCCATGAAGCCCCCAGAGGACTGGCCACATCATTTTGTGTGTGTCCCACCTTAGCCTGTAACGGGTATAGCTCAGTACACTCTTACACCCATTGTTTTCTCTTTCTCCCCGACTAGACTGTAAACTTAAAAAACAAACACTATAGCTTGTTCTCAAAGACCCCCAGCTTAGTGTCTGACACATAGGAGTTACCTAACAAATGTTTGTTCAATGAATGAATGAAGTTCCTTTTCTCATAGCATCCCACTACCACCCTTCTCACTCCATGAGCTGGAAACCTAGGTTCCACTCCTGACATCTCTTCCATCCCCACACCCACTCCATCACCAAATCAGCTTAATTGCGCCAGATAGCTCTCAAGCAGTTCACTACTCTCCTTCCATCCCATTCTGGTTCAGCCACCACTCCCTGCAGCCTAGACTAGTGCCCCAGCCACATGGCAGATTGCTTTGCTGCTTGACCCCTCCAGTCCATCTATAGTGCAACCAGAATGATCTCCAATGCAAATCTGATATTAAAATGAAGGAAATCCTTAACATGGCTGAGGGCCTGTCCAGCCTGGCCCCTCCCTGCTCGCTGGCTGGTGTGGATAAAGTGAAGGTTCCTACGGCTAGGATTCTCACTTGGCTCTGGTTGGCTAGCTCACTACACGTGTGGGCAATACATTGTTACTGACTCTATAGAAAGAGCTCTGCCCAGTGCTCTGGCCAACACAGTGGCATGGCTGTAGAGCTGCTAGGTTGCAGGAGAGCAGAGGCTGGAGTGGTGGCAGCACCGAGAACAGAGACTGAGATGGCTGCGGGGGTAAGAGGCTCAGAGGCAGAGACCAGCATGCTGCCTGCAGACTCGCTCTGAGTGGACAGAATTCTAGTGATTGACCTGCCACCATGGGAATAAAGTCAGGTATTACCCTGTCAACACAAGAACATTCCATTGTCATTCTTTGGTCTCATTGAATCCACAGTGCACTTGTATGGGGCTGAAACCCATTGGCAAGACACTGGGCTCCCCCCTCACTGCTCTCCACACTGTTCTTTCAGATCCTTGCTTCCTTCTGTGGCAAGGCCTTTGCACATGCTTTCTGCTTCCTGAACTTCCCTCCTAGGAAGTCAGTGATTGCCCCTCTTCCACATCTGAGTTCAAGGACCAGTTCTTTTAGAGAGGATCTCAACCTCCCTGACCAGGTCAAATACCTGCTTTCAAGTTCTTATAATACCCATATGGCAGATGTTTTTTTTTTGTGTGTGACAATTGTTATAGGTAAACTTTTTTTCAAGAAATTCCACATGTACTTTTATTTCACAAACCACAATTTCCAAAGCAAGCAGAGCAAAAGTTGGGCTCCAGTTTAAACTAATAGACCTGTACAGACATATTTATCTGACCATAAAGGAATTTTAATGGAGAGATCCATCAAATTTAAAAGCCAAATAATTTTCCTATTTGGCAAAAACAACTAGCATAAAAATATTTGCCTTTATAACCAAAAGTTTTATTTTCATTAATGTCCAGTGGTATTGTGTTTGGTCTACAGGCTTTCTTTTTCTTTTTTTTAACTTACTGGAGTTTAATTTACATGCCTAAACATTTAATTGTTTTATGTCTACAGTTCAATGAATTTTAGACGTACACAATCCTGCCAAAGTTTCCTGGTGCCTGTTTGTGCCTCCTCCTCCCCTGGTCCCTAAGCAACCACTAACTGCTTTTTGTCACTTTAGTTTTGTCTTTTCTGTATTTTCACATACATGAAATAATAGGGAATGCACAGCACGATATTTGTGGGATTTATCCATGTTGTATCATTGACTAGTATTCCATTGTATGGATATACTGTTTACCTGTTGATTAACGTGTGGGGTTTTCTTTCATTTTTCAGCTGTTTCTGTAACATTTGCATCAGGTTTTTGTTTGGACAAGTTCTCATTTCTTGTTGAGAGATACCTATGCGTGGAATTGTGGGTCCTATGGGAAGTGTATGTTTGATTTTTAAAGAAACTGTTTTCCAAAGTAGCTGTGCTATTTGCATCCCCACAAGCACTGTATGAAGGTTGTAGCTGCTCCACTTCATTTCCAGTGCTTGGTACTATCAGGGTTTTTGTTTTTATTTTTATTTTTTAAAGCTATTCTAGTATAGTGGTATCTTAATTTGTATTTTCCATAGTGACCTATGGTGTCATATACTTGTTGGCTATTCATGTAACTTCTTTTGTGAAAAGTCTGTTCAGATCTTTTGCCCACTTGAAAAATGCATTTTTGTCTTATTTAATTCTAAGAGTTCTTTATACATCTGGATATAAGTGCTTTGGCAGATACATGTTTTACAAATATCTTCCAATCTGTGGCTCACCTTTTCATTTCACAGGTGCAGTTTTACATGTGTATGGGCACCTGTCTCCTCAGATAAACCCCATGAAGGCAGGGACTAATCCTGCTTTTGCCTGACATGTGGCATAATGCCAGGCAGATAGTATCCTCAATTACACTTTGTTTAGGAAATGCTGTGACTGCCATCTGAAGTTCCTCTCCAACTCTTTCCCTTAGTCCCTCAGGGGAGACCAGGCTTAAAGTTCTAAAGCATGAAGTACCTCCTGGAGCAAAGCCAGTGAAGGTTATCCATGATCCAAAATAATTTCTGATAAGCCCCATGCTGTCCCCATGAGATTCAGAATTGGTAGGAACTTCAAGATCTGGTTGGAAGACCTCTACCTCTGTACAAAGAACTATACTAATTTTACTGGATTATATATTTATTAGTTGTAGCTGGAGATTGGGACCCGGGGCACTAAAGAGTCACTCCAAGCTACTGTTTGGTGCCAGGGCTCACCAGGGCTCTTGCTTTTTCTCAGCCCAGTCAGCTAGGAGAGTCTCTTTAGTCTTTAAGCCTCTGCCTGTTCCCCAAATGAGACCACCAGACGGCGCAAGAGCTCCAGTCCGGGTTGAAGGTGAGAAAATTCAGCTCCTGGATCGGCGGATGCCGGGGTCTGGGGAGGCTTCCTTCAATGTCTACAGGGAAAGCTCGGTGGTTTCCAGGTTGGGGGATCCGTGCGAGGGGCCAGGTCTGGAGGTCGCTGTTCACCATTCATGCATTCAACCCTTTCTGAGCATGTATGAGGCCCAAGCCATACACTGAGGAAGAGAGAAATAATTACCGAGAGCGAGAGCTCTTCGTTGGCATTTCTAGATATTTATTACTTTCGTAACAACTTAAGATTCCATTAAATCGTTTGCTCTTGTTTGCTCAGAGGCTTCCAAGTGGGGTTGCAGATGAAGAAGCTGAGATTCAGGGGGTGGGGAGATTCATCTGTTCACGGAAACACCCTTTCAGGTTGGCGGCCTCGGCGGGAACGCAGCAGGCTGAGGCGCTGGGCCTGGGATGCTTCTCTGGTTACCCTGACGACCGGACGGCAGTCACGTGACATGGGAGCTCGCGGAGAGGCGGGAGGGGCTTGGTGGCAGTCCGCGGCGGCTTCCGTAGTCTGGCGACAGGTCACGTACCGAGAGATCGACCGCGGCGGTGTCTGCGCTCCCGGCTGCCGCATCACATGACGGGTTCTAAAACAGCATGGCGGCGGCCGCGGTGCTGCTCCGCAGTTGAGCTACAGCGCGTCTAGGAGGCTTCTACCTGGGGTGAGGGGTGGCCTCAACCTCGGGGGGCGGGGATCGGGCTCTCCTCAACCCGTTTCTGTCCCCGACGTGTCACCCACATTC